CAACGCGCGCCCTCTGTCTGTCCAGGACTCAAGTCCCCGAGACCGCGCCCGTGGGCACCCCGCTGAGCACCTTCACTTGCGACGCCCCCGACTCCCCCGGCGCCGCCCTGGACTACCAGCTGCGGCTGCACAGCCCTCGGGGCCGGACCAGCCTCTGCCTTAGCGACAGGGTTCTGGAGGTGCCTGGCGCCGGCCCCCAGACCCTCGTGCAGGGTGCTTGGGAAGCGAGGGGGCGCTTAGGGTCTGTGAGAGCCAGACCTTTGGGGGTGAAGGAGCTGGTGGTGGAGCCTGCCTGCTTTGAAGTCTGGAAAACAAGGGGTCAGGGTGATTATCTGTGGGTGCCCTGGCCTGGGGCAGCCCAGCGCGGCTCAAGGGTCTCACTCTCTGGTCCCTCTGCCAGGTGAATGCCACACTGGACTGTGACGCTCCCGGGGCCTGCTTGCAATACACAGCCTCCATCCTGGTGCTTGATGGTGGTCAGCCCCCGATGACCAGTGAGTGACCATACCGAGGCCTGGACAGGGCTGTTCTGTTCCCCTTTCTCTATTCTCAGGACAAGGTCAGCTCTTCTCCCTCAAAAACCAGTCGCGCTGCTTGTCTCCATTTCATACCCCTGGGCTGGGGCATCCCTCCTCTCCTAGACCCTCCCTCCCACCAGACCCTCTCCCTCCTTAGACCCCCCCCCCAAGGGGCAGGGACATGTCTCCCTCCTCAGACTTTAGGGCAGGGCTGGGCATCCCAGGCCAGCTCCTTGACTGCCTAACGGCCTCCAGCTGAGGTGCCAGTACTGGTGATGGTGACACCTGCCAATGAGTTCTCCCCAACCTGCGTCCCGCGCACATTCCGGGTTCGAGAGGATGCAGGGCCCCGCACCCTGCTGGGCTCTGTGGTGGGCATGGACACGGATTACCCACACGACAGCGTTGAGTACTACGCCTCTGGCGGGCCTGCCACCTTCGCCGTGGACCGGCTCAGCGGTACTTCCTCCCCAGGACTGGGCCGGAGGGGTGCAGCCAGAGCTGACTGCAGGCTGAGGCTGTGCTCACTCCTTCCAGGAGAGGTTCGCCTCCTGGGGCCTTTGGACTATGAGCAGCAGAGGTTGTACAGGCTCCCTGTCCTGGTGACCGACCACAGCCAAGACCAGGACCCTACTCATCACCGCTCAGGCTCCTGTACCATTACCATCGAGGTTGAGGTAACTGAGCCCCAAGGCCTTGGAAAGAATTGGAAAGCGTTCAGATCTCCCTCTGGCTTTCTGAGCTCTCACTCTGTGCCTCAGCTTCCATTGGTTGACTGGAGGGTGGGTGGGGCCTCATGTGGAAAGCTCTGTAGCCTGCTGCCTGATACCTAGGCTCTAGCTGTGGCGGGAGGAGGCCGAGGGCTGGCCTGGGAATTTGGGGAGTGGGTGACCTGGCTACCTTCCTGCAGGATGTGAATGATCATGCCCCCGAGTGTGAGCCCCCATTCCAGGAACTCACCGTCCACACCTTCCCAGGCCGTAGCATGGAGGTGACCAAGGTGTCATGTCGGGTCCCTCAGGAGCCACAGCGCCTGGCCTTCTCCTATAGCATCGTGGGAGGTGAGGATCATGGGGGCCACCAGGATGCGGGAGAGGAGCAGGCAAGGCCAGCAGCGGTCCCCTTCTCCTGCCACTCTTTCAGGCAATAGTCAAAGCCGGTTCAGCCTGCAAGGAGCTGTCCTGGTGCACAACGACCTCATGTTGGGGCCGCCCTGGCCAGAGCAGCCCCGTACCTATGAGCTCTTGATCCGTGTGGCCGATGCCGGGCCCTCCATCCCCCACCTCAGCACCACAACTACCATCATTGTGCATCTAGTTCCCCGGAGGGCCAGCACAGTGGCCACCAGCACCCATAGAGCCACAGTGAGGGGGGGTCCTCGGGCCCTTGAGGGGTGGGAGAGAGGGTCTTGGAGGGTGAGGAGACCCAGTTTTCCAGGTGGAGCGTGGGGGCAGACATTCCAGAAGGAACCGTTGAGTGCAAAGAGCAACACAAGAGAGCAAATTTGGGGTGTTGGGGTGCCAAGCCCTTGGAGGGGTTTGAAGGCTGGATGGTCAGGGCATTTTGGCAGGGCCGTGATGAGTCTGTGGCCTCCATTTCAGGTGACTTCAATGATGACGCCCCTGCTTGTGACAGACACAGAGGCTTTCTGGCAGCCGGAGCCCTGGTTTGTAGTGGTGCTGACAGTGACCAGTGCCCTTCTTCTCTTGGCTCTGGGCTGGCTCCTCAGCAGGCTTCTCCGAGGGTAGGGTGCCTATCCCTGTGCTCCCTGCCTGCCCCCCCCAAGCCCACTAATGGACCCCATCTGTGGGAGGTGGTTTCGGCCCAGGTTTGATAACAATGCCCATATGATGACCAGACAAACTGATATTAAGGAGTGCTGCCCTCCCCGCAGAGCTTGTCAGGTTGGAGGCAGAGAAACACTGGAAGGACGCTGTCTCCGTCATTGGCAGAGCCCAGTCTTGGAAAGGGGCGGGTGTGGCTGAGGCCCAGGGCTTGAGGCTCCAAGTGTTTCGTGCGTTTGCCCTATTGATCATCCCTGCCCTCCACCTGAAACTTGGCTTTGAGTTTCTTGTGGGCACAGAACTGAACCCAGGAGAAAGTGGGGGTAACAATGTGGACATAGTATACAGGCATTGGCTACCTCCAATACAAAGGGGGAGATGAATGGTGCTAGTTTCCGGAGCCAGCAGGTCTGCTGCCCTCATGCTTGGCCCTTCCTCCTGGCATTTCAGATTGGCCCAGGGGCTACAGGCACCAAGCAAACCAGCCCAGGCTCTGCTGCTAAACAGGTCAGCCTCCTCTGCATACCTCTATGCCTGGAAGTCCATTACTTAAACTCAGGCTGGGGCCCAGAGCCTCATCCTGCACTCCTGCTTTTACTTTGCCCCAGTATCCAGGGAACTGAGGGGTCCACGGAGGCACCAAGGATGGAGACACTCCAGGCACCCAGTAGCATCATGAGCCTGGTATGTCAACCCCCCATCCTGTGTAGTTGGGGCACAGAGGCTGCTCTAGAGTACTCTCCCCTGCCAAACCTGCCCCCTTCCCTACGGATGGCTACCTCTGTGGGAGCGCCCACCCCAGCACCATCAGGATGCAGCTCCTGACCCCATGGACAGGGTTCAACTCATGGTGTCCTCTTGTTTGTCCCTTCAGCAGCATTTTGATGGCAGAGCACAGGACTCCTGTGAGTCCCCCTCTTTCCAAACCATTCCCCACCTGGGCCCACTTTCTCTCCTTTCCCCATCTCAGTGTCTCCTCCTATCACCAGGCATCTACCATCCACTCTTTCCTTGAATGGGGTCTACTCTCACCCCCACTCACCTTTCAGCTGATGTTTGTCAAACACTTGTGGGATCAGGAAATGACTAGGAGCTGGTCTGGTTCCTGCCCATGAGGGTGGCAGGAGGGAGGTGGTGAGGAGAGAGACCCCCAGATACTCCATGGTCACCAATGAATTATGGCAGAGTAATCTGGCACTGGGCTTAGGGAGAGCTGGTGTCCAGTTTTGGGGAATCAGGGATGCTTCCTGTGCATTTGAGCCAGACCTCAAGGATTTTCTGAGAAAGGAGGGAGGGGACAGGTTGGATCAAGCAGAAGGGGGTGTCACACCAAGGGTTGGGACATCTCCTACCCTTAGGGGAGGGAGGCAGTTCTGCTGAGGCCAGCAGTGTCTCCTCTTTCTCCTGACCATCTGAGCTCAGATACAGGCAGAGATTACCTGTTCAACACACACACCGGAGCCTGGCGCTGGCTGTGAGGCCAAGAAGCTACTTCACTATGTGGGAATTTCTTCACGTGATCATGAGCCGTGTTTCAAAGTTGATTCGATAATAAACAAAATTGCAAACAGAAAAGTCTCAGCCTTGGAACCCACACGGGGGAGAAGCTCTGAAATCTGTGCTTCCTTGTTCTCCCTCGGAGAACTCCCTACCTCGGGGGAACACTCTAGGGAGTAGTAAGGTTAGTTCTAGGAAGGCAATGTACAATGCGCTGATGGACAGTGATTAACGCTCTGCCGAGTAAGAGTTTGTGAGTCTTGTTGGTGACTGTGCGGGCCTGTCCCCTCAGAGGCCGCCTGCTCTGGCAGGTGGAGAGGGCCCGGGAGCTTCTGTTTTCCACGGAAAGGGGGACACTGTTGGGGCAGGTTTGCCCACTGGGTGTGGAGGTTTCCTTGGGAAGGATCTGTAGTTTTTGCACAGAGGTGTGGGTTGGTGCAGACTTGAGGAGTCTGTAGCATGGCCGGCCATGGAGGGGTTGATGGTAGCCCTCGTCGGAGGGGCCGTTCCCATTTTCCCCTGATGTTTCTTCTGGTTCCTTGGCCCTCAGCTGTGCTGAGCGGCTGCACATAGCCAGGTGGCCTACAGTGACCTGCAGGAGGGCGGGTTCCGCTGGGTGCGGTGCTAGCCCACTTCCCATGCCCAGCCTGGGCATCAGGCCCCGGGATACTGCCAGCTCTCCGGAAGGACCTGCTGTCTGGTGGAGGCTAGCTTTACTGTGGCATCTCCAATTTCTCTCAGTCTTCTCCCCTCTGCCAAGTCTGTGGACCTGCATCTTCTCAGGGGACTGCAAGACCTGCCTTCCAGAGCCAGGTGGGGAAAGAAGCTGAGGGCCTCCTGTGGGAAAAACACACTTCACGGTGCGCCCTTTGGAGCGAGGGTGTCAGAGCTGGCCTTGGGGACAGAGTGGGAGAGCAGGCTGACTTTCCCCAGCACTGACGCGGGCTCTACGGGCTCATTGAATCTTCATCTCTCAAGAGCCAGACTGTTACCCTCATTTTACAGGTGGTGCAACGAAGGCTCGAAAGTCACAGCGATAGCCAGTGCGGACACTTGGTGTGGACACGTGTAGAGGGTGCGACTGCATCCGGGCTCCTAACCCTGAAGCCAAGCCCGGGGGTAGGCGCTCTGCCTGGGCCACCGGGGATAACCTTCTTTCCAGGACTCACAGCTGGCCTCCGGGGCACATCGTGCCAGTCTCGGGCAAATATGTTGTCATAGGAACTCAAGACGAGATACTCTAGGGCAGGAAAGAGAGTTCCCGCTGTGCGCTGGGGCTGTGGTGGGGACTGAACCCTAGACAGAGGGACAAGCGTGGGGGATGGGCCGGGCACTGCTCGGGACGGCCCGCGGCACCTCGGGGCTGAGGAGGGCCAAGCTGGGGAAACCAACCACTGGGAAGGGGGCATTCAACCCTGGAGCCGGCAGGAGGAGGCACGAGACCCGGCGCCTCCACTTCCAGAGGTGGAGTGACCTTGGTCCCGCTTCCCCCTTGCACCTCAGTTTCCTCACCGGTGAACTGGGGACAGCAACCTCTCCCTTCCCAGGTGGGTGACCAAAAAAAAGCAAATAGCACACAACAGACATTCCCTAAGTGTGCGCGCGTGTGTGTAAGAAGACGCTGCGGGCCCGCACCACAGTCGCTCACGCAGAGACGCCAAGGGCGCTCCGGCCTCGGAGTCACCCGCAAAAAGCTCTGCCGCCAACAACTCCGGGAACTGCACGCATGCGCCAACCCGTGCCGTCACAGTCACGTGCCCAGGCATTCGGCTCTGGCCTTGAGAGGCGGGCTCTGATTGACAGGCAGATCGACCTGTCAGCGGGGAGCACTCCCCGAGGGTAGGGCAAAGAGGTTGTTAATTGGGGACAGTCCCGGCCGGGGGCGGGTTCTTTGCCGCCCTGGTTACTATGACGCCCGGCCCCCGCCCCCTCGGCTGGCCGCCATCTTGTTGTTGATCCGTACCCAGTGGGCAGCGCCGGGAGCTGGACCGAGCGGCCGGTGAGGGGCCGCTGCTGCGGGGCTCAGCCACCTGCGCTG